ATGAAGTCATTGACGAGTGGACTTAGCCATGCCGGTAATTGTCGACTACGTGGTTGGGGTCCGCAGATGATAATAGTCGATGGTTAGAGACCTTGAATGACATGGCTCAAAATCGTTCGCAATGGCGCCAGTGCATTTATTCTTTGTGTTCTCTCAAATCCTAATCTTCTGGGTTCTTCAACACCTCTAGCTTTTACTTTCTAAACTTATCTCATTGAATCATACTTCTTGAATAATATCTTCTAATTCTAACCTCTCCGATTACTTCTAATACCTTTACTACCTCTTCTACTATTGGATTTGAATTGACAATTATATCTCTGTGCTGATGTGGTGTGGCGACATGAACTGATGTACTTACGTACGAAGTTCTACATTGCACACTGACTGACTGACTGACTGATCCCATGGCAGTGAATGATAATCGTAACATTTTTTAAAAGTGATTGAATTTATTGATGTAAAATATCTGAGTATTAACCCTAGTGATCTGGAAGTTATAAAGCATTTTTTACAAGATCTTGTTATCTTGAACTCTATTTTTTATTGGTTGTATATGTACACTTCTGAGTGACCACAAACTATGACTAGATAATCACCGATCTCTTACTGATTTTCAACAGTTCCCTAGTTAATTTCAGTTCGTAATGAAATTTGATTTGCAAAACAGAAATTTTTTATTTTAAACAAAGTGATTTTGCCATCCATCGAAGATTGACCTCAGTTGGGATTACTGTTGGAAAGCAGGGAATCCTAAACAGCTGTTCTGTGTATAATGGTTACGCCTGCAATCATTACTTATGATAGCAAATTAGATAGTCGTGCTTTATCATGAACTGACTGGACTTCCAGGTGTATACGAATGAAGATCAACCGAGCGGTCTACTAACTAAGCGCTCATTGCAGAACTCGTTTATGGCTGAGATCCCTGAGGGAGTCGTCAGAGAGCATTTTCAAAAAATCTCTTACTAGGACAAAACATCTACTCAGTCCCCCTTGACTTTCAGTGACGCACTAAATGACATCAGTAGTTGAAGATTAGTATATTTTTCAATTTTTTAGCACAATAAGTTGATTGGAATATAAAATCTGTCAAGATAATAGTGTGATTAGTATATCTATCATATATTTTTTATTCAACTCCTTAGCTTCTTGAAGGTGATTTCGAATCGAGTAAATTATGGATGAATACATATTGTAAATGTGTGGAATATTTACGGAATGGTTTTACGAAGTGTTTATGTGCTATGATTACATGTGATCTAAAATCAGATGCATTTAATAACTCACAATTTCTCAATGAATTCGATATTCCAGGCAGTCAAAGTTTCAATGAACGTTGGCATAAGAAACTACAAGTAGACGAATTGAAACAAAATGCATCAGAATCAGAGAAGCAATTAGTATTCCTCATACATTTGATTGTGAGTTTTCTTAGATAGGTATCTATTGTCATTTTTTCAAACTAGATCCCTAAGATGTATTGTATATTATAGTTAGTTTATTTAAATGTCTCCAGGTGCTATACATATGTTTGATCTTTACGGGAGATCTCGGTTTCATAAGGATTGCAGATATGTCTTACTAATAAGTTTCAACTTGGAACGAAAGCAGGAGCTTGAGCTTTCAGATTCTGAAAATCTGCTGAGACACTATGGTTAAATGATGAAGTAATTGGCGGATTATATATATTAATATTATTATAGTCCAAGTTTTGAACTTGTCTAAGTATTCTTCAACTACTTTGCATAAACTTTTCATTTATCAACAATTTAACGTGATACGTGTATACATGTTTTATACTTATGCAATCTTTATATTCTTCTTTTATTCTTACTTTAGATTTTATATAATTTGTATGATATATGGCAGAGCATTGTTAAGATTGCTGAAACAATTATAACTTCCAAAGAATCCACTATATATAATCCTGTACTTTTACAATGGATATTAACTACACGTCCTAAACTTGTCGAAGCCATCTTAAGTTATCCAGCAATCCAACTATCATACAATTATCAATGTAGTCGATGTTTATATAAAGCAATACTTGATATTTTATTATCTGTTGATGAAGTTCAATTAAATAATTTGTTTAGAGAGTTTCCAAATCAATACGGTTGTATTGATTATTTACTTTTGGAGTCTGTACATAATCTAAGTGATCGGATCACAATGTGTATACAGAAAATTGATGTTTATCGTTTACACCTGAGAAATGTGAGTAGTTTTATAACAGAGCTAACCTTTTTCAACTAATCGTTTTTATTGTGCCTGTTTTTTTTGAAAAAACACCAGCAGCTTAGTGGTAACGCACTACTGTATATTAAAGGTATTTGGATCATGTAGCATTAAGTAGTAATCACTCATTTAAAAATATCTCGTCTTCGTTACTTACATTGAAAATACATTGGTAAATTTCGGACTTTGATTAATTCAGTGACTTGTTTGGTGTTATAACTACTCTTTACTCTCAGAACCAGTTATTTATTTATCAAATGTGATTCGGTTTTCATTAAAGTACATAATGTTTTAGTCACAGGTTTTAGAGGTATTCTATCCGTCTCATGTAAACACTTCATGTTCTATACATCATGGTTCGAAAATAAGAGTTTTTCTATTTTGTAAATTTTTGAAATCATGAGCCGATGAATGCTAGACCACCATTAGAAACCTGGAAGCACTGGACGGCCGTTTCGTCCTGGTATGGGAATCACCAGTAGTGAGAAGTCTTGGACAGTGGAGTTTAGTTCTGTTTGGATGTGAAGCAGTGCTCACCAAAGACAACAGATGAGGTCGCACAAGACCGAAGGTTCTGGGTTCAGATCCTGCGACTTGCAGGAGTTGTGGATGCGTGCTGCTGATGAGTCTCATACCAGGACGAAACGGTCGTCCAGTGCTTCCAGATTTCTAATGGTGGTCTAACACTGATCGATTCATTATTTATAAAAGTAACTCAACCATCTCATCAGGCCCATCATGCATATTTTGTAAATGTAATTATTCATTAAATTTTATCCTACGTCTACTTCCAGACCAATGACTAGTAATTATAGTACAGGTAGTTTGCATGTTTGAACTCCATTTTACTTATTTCAATAATGGTAGTCAAGTGATAAATATCCTTAGTCTTGACACAAACTGCATATCTTAAAAGTAAATACATAAAACTTGTCTGATTGAATTTTCATCTGTAGACTAAACGGGTTATTGGTGAAGTTTTTGTTATCGTCTTAAGGAGTAGATGGTATTGTCTAGAAGGATAGTAAAAGCTAGACGATTAGAACCACTTAGCTCAGAGAAATCAATTTCAGCAAAATCATCTTGAATCACAAATTTCTCTCCAAGATGAAATCATAAAAACTATTTTGATAATTGACTTATGATTTGTCAAGTGATAGTATTGTGTAAGTGTTTAGTTCCTATGAAAATGGAGAATTTTTTATTTGATCCAGAAATTCAATAACATTTAGGAATTCTATTAGCTGTATTCTAATGCGATATGTTATTGGCAAGGTATTATGTCTCTGAAACTGATAAGAATAAACTTATTCATTTTAAAAGATTCAGTTTCATAAATTTCTGTTTATGATACAGGTTCATAAAAGTCATGTGGTTGAACTAAAAATACAATTTTGTTGAAAAAAATGTTCTCCATTTTCCTCAGTCACTTTTTTTAAAGTGATCGTTTTGTGTGAAAAAACTCTTCTTTCAACTAACGTTTTACTATGGTGAAACTAATAGTTGTCAATGTAATTTTAGGTATCACTTTATCTCCGTCTATCATAGCTGTGAACATGGCACAAATCCATGAAGTCATTGACAGTCGGACTGAGCCGTGCTAGGAAGTGAAGCTACCTGGTTGGGATCCGTGAGACAACAGTAACTGACGGATGTACGAGGTCGTGGATTTGCTTGGATGAAAAGCCCATCCAGTAGTACACTTTAGTTCTTCAGTGGTTATCTAGTTAAGATCAATTCGTGACTTTAACTTTTGAGAATTAAGATAAGCCTAAAATATACCTATATACGGTTTTTAAAACCGATTGCCGTTACCTATTCGTCGTATCTGCCTACGCCCCCACTGCAGTTCAGACGACGTGAGAGATGAATTCGACAGAAAGCCTTTGGACCTCCTCCAAAACGTTAAGCGCTCCGATGTAGTAATAATGGCTGGTGACTTCAATGCCCAAGTAGGTAAACTAAGTCAGCAGGAAAGACACCTAGGTGGATGTTATGGTGTCGCAGCTCAGAGAACAGACAATGGCGACCGTCTGCTGCAAGTACGCTCAGATAACCGCCTACTCCTAGCAAACACTAACTTTAGGCATAAGGAAAAACATCTGTTGACCTGGCGACCTTCATAGTCGTCTCAACTTTGGACCTAACTAGATCACAATTCCATTAGCCACTGATGGAGGGGTTCGGTAGAGTACTGTCGCACGTTGTGGGACACAGGCTGATAAAAAGCCTTCTCAATGATCGATAACATTGGTGAGTGGCGAATGCCAAAGCGATTGAAAAGGCGCGGGCGACGGGCAACAGTAGACAACTTTTTCCACCTTATAAAGGAATCCGGTATTAGAAATCCATCTGTTAGCGAAACAGTCTCAGAAAAGGTGGATGCATTATTCATTCTCAATCCAGGAGATTGAATCGATGGACAGAGCACTTCAGGGATCAGTTCAACTGGCCTTCAGCAACACTTCGGTTGCCTACAATCTCCAGTCATCCTGAATGGTAAATCGATTTAAGTCCTCCGATTTTCAATGAAGTTGAAAAGGCTATGAGAAATCTGAAGCGAGGGAGAGCAGCAGGACCTGGCAGGTTTACCCTTGAGATTTTTAAAGATGGTGGTCCAGTTTTAAACAGTTAGATTGACTGAGATCTCGGGTAGAATCTGGGCTGGAAGCAATGCCATCGGACTGGTCTCGATCACTGATTGTTACAGTCTATAAAAAAGGACAAAAGACCTCTTGTGACAATCACAGAGGAATAAGTCTAACTAATATAATTTCTAAATAGGTAGCCTTCATTATACTTAGAAGCCTAACTAGAGCTCGTGAAGAGCAGACTCCAGAAAACCATGCTGGTTTTCGACTGGATGTGGATGTATAGACCACATCTTCACACTAAGATAGGTCTTGGAACACAGACACACACTTAGGCGTCCGACAATAGTTGTCTTCCTGGACCTTAAAGCGGCAATTTCAATCTGTGGATCGTGAGGTTCTGTGGCAGTGTCTGTCATTGAGAGGTAAACCAAAGAAGTACATTAACCTTATACAAGCTCCCTACTCGAACACGACTCGTCGAATGAGAGCCTATGGTGAACTGTCATCGGAATTCTTTACTTCAAGTGGTGTCCGTCGGAGATGTCCACTCTCTCCATTCTTGTTTAACTTTGTCGTAGACATGCTTTTAAAGTTAACATTATCCTCGTCAGATTTTTGAGGGGAGGACGTTCTAACAGGAGCTCGCTTACAGCACTAGAATATGCCGATGAAATAGTTCTATTTGGTGAAGACGCTGACAAAATGCAGTCTTCTGAACACCATAAGCAACAATGCAAGCGTGTTCGGGATGCGGGTCTTCACCCGTCGAAATGCAAAGTGTTACATTCAAGATTGGGTTGCATCGGCACCTTTACTAGTGAATAGGGAGTGAAGTAGTTGAGCCTGTAGACCGCTTCACTGATCTCGGGAGTCTCATCAGTTCTCGATGGCCTGGTGTCTGATGAAATCTCAGAACGGATACAGAAAGTTCGATTGGCTTTGCTGACCTGCGTCACTTGTGGCACAGATGAGAGCATCTATTTTTAACCAAAGATCGAGTTTACTGAACAACAGTTCGCTCTGTCCTACTTTATGGCTGTGAAACATGGACGTTAAGAGTAGAGGATATTCGTAGGTTATCCAGTATTCAATTAGAGATATCTTCGAAGCACTGCTCGTGTATCCTGGCACGACCGAGTAAGGCAATGCTGTCGTTAGGCAAACGAGTGCTAGTAGGGATGCAGATCATAGATGAAAGTTATTTCAACTTCATCAGTTAGTAGGTGGTTGGAACATGTGTTACGTATGCCTGAAACCGACTGCCTCGACGAGCTATGTTCTTGCAGTGTATGAGTAGGTTGGAAGAAAGTTAAGTGCGGCCAGACCAAAACATGGCAGAAATCAATGAAGTCAATTGACAGGTGGACTGAGTCATGTTGGTAGGTGTAAACTACCTGGTTGGGGTCCGGGAGATGGTAGTAACTAATGTTTAAAGACCTTGAACGACATGGCTCAGAATCGTTTGCGATGGCGTAGATGCATCCACTTGTTGTGTACTATGAAATTCTAACCTTCTGAATTCCTCATCATTTCTACCTTTCCTCCTTCTCATTTATCTCACTGAATTATGCTTCTCGAATCTATCTCCGATCTATAATCTTCTCATTACTGCTGTACTGCTTCGACTATTGCCATCACTCTTGGATGTGAACTGACAGTTTGCGTCTCTGCGCTAATCGGGCATGGCAACCTGAACTGATGTACTTACGTACGAAATTCTACGTTGTAAGTGACTGACTAACTGACTGAAAACCGATTGCTCTTTAATTATTCCATATCATGTAAAATTTAACGGCGTTTTCCCTATTATTTTAGTCGATTTTTTGGGTTACGCAAAGAATATTTAGATTTACATTTCGGACTGAATGATATATGACATTATTTAGTCAGTTAGTTATATGTAACATAGAATCTAACACATATATGCTTCGTTTCAATTTGTCACACTGCAATATTAGCATACAAGATCAAATTATTTTATCGAACCTTTAAGTATTGGAAGTAGTCACAATATCAGTAATAGTTTGTGAAACGGTTAGTTGTAGAAAGAGGAGACAAACGTTTAAAAGTACTTTAGGTCTTAGGATTTACGATAAGCGTGAAAGTAGCATTGATTACAACCAGTCAAGTACAACGTAGAACTTCGTACATACGTACATCAGTTTAAGTTGTATATTGAAATCCCACAGTAATTATCAGTGGAAAGTTTTTGGATAGATTTTTCTTGTTAATCCTAGCACCGAACCAAGTGTTACTGCAAAATAATCTATTCAGGCGATTTGGATTGTTTGTATAAGTTGACTTTGTAATTGGATACACAATAAGATTATTTTTACTTATTTAATAAGTTGTCATTGATTTCTGTCATTGTCTCAGAACTGCATAGAGTGGGTTTACTGGTTATAATGTGTGAATAACTGGTTAGCACAAATAGTTTATCTGATGTATAAAAATACTTGGTACTCTGATGGTCTAACAATGACTAGTCGTCAGTAGTTTGTATGGTGTAATTGTAAATGATCAGCAGAAAACCTTGGGACTGGGTTTCATTTATTTTTTTGAGCTCATTGACGAGGTAGTGTAATCTTGAGAAAAATGATGCTTTCTGGAGAATTTTGTCACGTATTACCCGGCTTCGTCGTCAGAGGCGTTATGACTGAGCTTTTCGGGCAGCGACTGACTTCCTGTAGGACTGGAATGTATTTACAATTACTTAATCACTGATTAGCGATTGATGTCATGTCTTTAGTGCTGGTCGAATTATATCGATCAATTTCAAATGAAATGTCGTACATATGTAACTATTTTGCTTACTTGTACTGTCATTAGATCACCAGATTAAAGCTTCCTAACGATCAAGATGTAGAAATTATCAATAGTCCATTGAAAACTTCTGGTCATCTAGATTTGGCTGACTCAAATACTTTAAATTTACGTCACACTTTATCTCGTTGGCGTGCAATTCTCATGAAGAAGCTTATCAGTGGTCATAATTTTGAGCGACGTTTAACTTACTACTCGGAGAAACTACACTGTTTATTGCTCAGTTTGAAATCTGCTAAGGAGATGGAAACGTATGATTACGTAGAGATTGAGGTAAGTAAGAAAATTGTATTTTTTTTAAGGGAGGAATTCAGTTTACCGTTTTACTATGATAGTCTGTGGTTCCATGAAAAACCATATGATAGTATCCGATACCTTGAGAATTTATAATCTTCACCGTTAGTCGTATTCTGTTTGCCTTTTAATAATGTATTTTTGTCGAGTTCGTAGATTTTTTGATTCTCTCTGACTATAATAAATTAAAACAATCAGTTGATTCACGAACTGATCCTACGTAGATAACTATTGGAAATCTACAAACACTGGAAAGTTGTTCCGTCCTAATATAGGACTTATCAGTAGTGCAAATCCGCGATCGCGCAACAGCGGATCAAAGTTAAACATTATGATGTTGGATTATGGCTCAGCTGTCTAGAGATTAGGCGTTCTGGGTTCGATCCTCAGGGGCGAGGTCGCAGATGCTGCCTGTTGGACTAACAGCTCCTAAGTCCTTCCCAGCTTTCAGTATCAGTTCTTGATTGAAACTAAAATTTTTATGATTTCCACATAGCTCAATACTAATAATATAAAGTTAGAATGAGGATGAGTTAAAACTTAGCTTCAATTCATGAAATCTACGACTACTGGATGAAGTGATGTCTTTAAGTCCAACCTTTTTGCTTATTCATAGCGCAATGCTCATAATTATAGGTCACAAAGTTAGTATGCCAGAAAACTGATCTCAGTAGTACGTATGTAGTAATTATCTACTTCCCTCTAAATTTTTAGCTTTTCATTCTCCACTCCTAAATTCCTCATGTCTTCTATTGTATTTCTCTTGTTTAGATTTTGGTTACTGCTGAAACTAAATCTTGACCCTTACCTTTTACTCATGTTAAATTCATCTCTGGATGGTATTGATGTAAGATGTGATCAATCATAATTGTTTTTGAATCTAGTCTTTCTGTATTCACAAATTAGTTACCGAGACTCATGATTTTCTATAAAAAATTTGATTAATAACTTTTATTAATCCATGAACAATTAATTTAAAGCAACTTTATGATTTAAAAAATAATTCCTTATTAATAATCAAATTAAAGACATGTTTGAAAACATATAATAATACAGGTAGTCTTGAAAACACTGATAGAACATTGTAGAACAATTAAATAAGCAATTCAGATATTAAACATAGAATGATTGTCAAAGACAGTCCTTAAAATAAAAACAATTAGTAGTTGTAGGTGTTGGGTAACATGGCTCGGAACCTGTCACAATGGCACAGATGCTTTCATTATTTATCTCCTTATAGATTGAGAGTTCTAGTATTCCTTTATGTGCACCTTTTTATTCCTTTCCAGACCATATTCTCAATCTTTAATCTTTTATTTTGTTTAGCCACTACCCCAATTATTTTGATTTATTTGATATTTACATTGTTAGTTTAATCTCTTGTATTGATCTGTTACGACAACTTGTTTTGAAGCACATTTGTGGCAGGCTACCTGCTGATTTTCATTGAAATCGTGAAGCTATCAATGTTAGACGATCATTGGAAAGCTGCAGTCAGGAATAGGATCCAGAACCTACGATCTCGCGCGCGTACGCTCAGCCTCTAGATCAGTAAGCCGGAAGCCAACGGAGTTTATGTCAAACTTAAATTAATCCATGATATCGCGCAACCGATGTCCATTGTTATCGGTGGTTGATTGCCTCACACCCGACACGGTTGAACTCCACTGGTCGCTGCTTTTCACTAAGACTTAGAATTTTTTTAAGAAGCTATTCACTATTGAGCTCAAGATAAAACATATCACTACCCAAGATTCAAATCAGTAGTTGATTAAACATTGTAAGACATTTTTCAAACGATATTAACATGCAAATATCAGTAACAAGTAAACCTGATTGATGGTAGTTAGCGAAATAAAATTAGTTGACCGTTACTTTATTTAGTGCATCGAAAATGTAAATAAACGTAAATTCCGATCTTGTTACCATTAATTACGAGTTCTTTTTGGAATAATAATCCATTATTTATGATTATTTTCACAGTTATTCAGTAAATTTTTTGTACCCCATATTTCAGAAACGTCTATCTCATTCACAAGTAATAATGGATCAAGTTAACAAGTTGTTACATGATCTTCAAACTATTCCATTTCAAACATCTATCAATCATTCAATAAATTTTATCAATCTTATCAATCAACTTTTAGTATTACGGCAACAAAATATTGTTCAACATATTTTAAATAATCGTTTAAAATATTATTTATCAGAATTACAGAATTATTCAACAATTTATCAACGTCTTTTACATTTATTTCAACTTGGTAAAGAAGATTGTAAACAAATTATGAAAGAGTTAATTTGTGTGTTAAATTTCAAAGGATTGCCAAATTCATTCAATTATCATATTGATATGAATAATAAATTCATAGATTATCAACATTTAGAAGAACCACTTTTTAGAAGGAATGTAAAATCTCCAGGACTAGGTGGATTAGAACAGGTTTGTTGATTTTTTTTTTTGTGGAAATCTTATTTAAAGGATAAAACGTTTTGTAGAGTTAAGTTCGATTTGAAGATCGTTCATGGTTATGATTAGACGTTAGCATAATAGCCACCGAAAATTAATGTCTATTGAGATTGTTTTTACTTGTTGAGAACTCTTCATCAGTGCACATCCTATAATGATTTTTGATTTTAAGTGGTTCTCTAATTATTGTAAGTCAGTGTCAGAAACTATTTTCAAATAGGATCAAATTAAATGCGCCATTCAGTCATTAGTCACTATGGCTTAACTCACTTGTTGAATGTTTTGGCTGACAATTGATTAAACATGATCCATATACCCCAATGAATAGTTTAGTACCATAATAACATAAATTTTTCATGGATAAATATTAACTCCTATCTCTTGAAAATAATCATTCACTGTTTACTAATATTCGATACTGAGTTAATGGATTCTATGAAATTTTCATAACGAATAACCAACCTTAGGGTCATTTAAACAAAATTTGAGAATAAATTTTTATACTTGGCGAAATTAGAGTTTGTTTGAAGTTGAATCGATTCAAGTTGGATAATATCACTCTTTGCATATCGGCCTAACAGCTTAATATGAGGGATATAAACATAGCATTTATTCTTATCAAGTCTTTTTTATATATTTGAAGTAGCTTAAATTAAAGTGAGAGAGTTTCTCAGTGCTGTTTTATTTTCAGCGATGTGCTATTCAATACCGTCTTGTGATATTTGTATACGTCAACAAGGATTTCTTTCAGTCTAGATAAAACTTGATCTTATCTAGTTATTCCTGCTCGCTTCACTGAGTGTAGAAATTGGAAATATCACAAATGAGCTATTTAATTCATGAGAGGATCTCCAATATACCATTAAGTATGCTAATTGATCTTTCTAGCTCTTTATCCTACAAAGTTCTGTCAGACACAACTTACATTTAGTACTTTTTGTTGAACATTTACAGTCATCCCAAATCATCTTTACTACTTAATACCTAACATAATTACTATATTGTAAATCAGGACGAATTGAATTCTGCTCTAGATGGCTCAGGACTAAATACTCTTCATCAATTTATGAACTGTTAAGCGGTAATTGGCAGTCGATATGACTTGGATTTCGTGTTACGTTGCACTCATCAGCTTAGCATATCTCCAGTTTTGATTAAATTGGAGGTCTGTGGGATTGGAGCCTTTAATATTGCTCAAAATCCGTAGATCAATCAGAGTTATACATTAACACCGTTGGACGCCAACCCAGTGGTGCAATGGTTAGGCGTTCGCGCACAATACCGAAGGTCCCGGATTCGAATCCTGCGAGGTGCGGGAGTCGTCGATGCGCACTGCTGATGAGTCCCATACCTGGACGAAACGGCCTTCCAGTGCTTCCAAGTTTCTAATAGTGGTCTAACAATGATTGGTTGATGATTTCAAATGTGAAAAAACACAAATCTCCAAAACTCTAACTGAAAATATCGAGTCAGTCAAAAGATTTTCCACTTCCCTGTGAGATATTTTCGCTTCTGAAGATAATGATAACCCTCATATATTAAAATTAAACATTTGATAAAACTATTTGCATAATGCATGACTTGTCATATGCTTTAATCCGGTGGATAACCTTGTCTTTTAACTAGTTTTTATCAACAAGCATTTTTATTCTATAACTTATATCTTAATGTAGGTGGAATATACGTACAATCTTTTTGATATGTTCGTCACTTAGGATGCTTGAGGCTATTACGAGTTTACCTTAGTCGATAAACGCGAACGAGACTTTTACCAGCTTCCAGGAAGGCTACCCTGAATCCAAACGGTAAAACAGAAGTCTTGGTAAGCGCAGAAAGTATATTCTACAAGCACCCAGCAATCCCAGTACAATCAAGCATACAACTCTCGTTTATTTATACAACATAACAACGTCCTTGAGACAGTTAAGAAAATAGCATACTAAAATACACTGTGGCCAATCACAGCCATTGATTTTCCTGGTGGGAATTGAGATCTCAAGGTCATTTGATCAGCCCCTGCTGGCGAACGTGAAAACCGAAATACGGCATTATCAAGCGAATTTTGGGGATCTAACATCCCCAACACTCCTCCCCTTTTTAATAGCGTGTTCTCCTGTGGTTGACTTGCATCTTGACTATTGTTCGCCGCGGTCTGAGGGGATACCTTCGGGAACGAAGAACAGCTTGCTGCTGAGTTTCTTCTCGTGGCGGGGCTCTCGGTAGGTTGAAGGTATCAAGCAAGATGTCAAGGGGAAGGCTTTCTGCTCTTGATGGGCGATCTGGGGCTAGCCGTCTGCGTATCTGATTGCGATGACGTGACCATTTATCACCTCCTACCTCTACTTCGTACATAACTCGACCAACCCTTCTGACCACTCTCGCTTCTACCCAAGGACTATGGTTCGTTCTGTAGTCGCGGGCAAACACAGGGCATCCCACCTCGTAAGCGGATTGTCTTTGCTGCTTTGTCTCTACTGATGAGGGTGCATTGGTCGGATGCATCAGGCTGTGAATCGTTTTCAATCTTCTTCCCATCAGGATTTCAGCTGGGGACCTTTGCTCCGGTAACAATTCATTTGGTGTTGTCCGATAGACGTACAAGAAATTTTGTAACGTTTCGGCTGGCGTCCCCTCCCCTTTTGACTTGAGCAGTGCTCTTTTAAACGTATCCACAAACCTTTCCGCCTGCCCATTCGATTGCGGGTGGTATGGTGGCGAGCGTAAGTGTTTGATAGCTAGCCGTTGACAGAAATTCTGGAATTGGGAAGAGGTGAATTGAGAGCCATTGTCGGATACGATCACATCTGGTATGCCATTTCGTGAGAAAATTTCAGTTAGGAGCTGTATAGTCTTAGTTGTAGTGGGCGGCATAACGGGGCTGATTTCCGGCCATTTAGAAAAGGCGTCGACGACAATTAAATACATAGTTCCATTTATTGGGCCAGCGAAGTCGACATGTATCCTGGACCAAGGATGCTCAGGTTTGGGCCATGAAACCGGCGGAATTTCGGCATTCATCTTTGCCGCCTGCTGACACCTGATGCATTTTTCAACCAACGCTGTGACATGTTGATCCATGTGAGGCCAGTATGCATAACTCCTGGCTATGGACTTCATTCGTTTAATCCCAGGATGACCAAGATGGAACTGTCTCAGCACTTTTGCACGAAGGGATGCTGGCACCACTACTCTTTCACCAAACATCAGACAATCGTTGACGATGCATAGTGACTCCCGCCGCTGATACAGTTGCTTCATGTCACCTTCAAACTTTTTCGACGGCCAACCGTTAGTGACATATTTCATCGTCATCTTGATGATGGGGTCGTTTCTAGAAGCATTTTGTATGTCTGTTGCAGACACCGGTAATGCGCGAACTGCGGTTGTCAGATAACATTCTGCGTGGTTCTTCGTATACGCTTCTGGGTCATGTCGTTGTGATACCAGGTTGCATATGGTATTTAGCGGGACATCAGCCAATTTCAGCTGGTCGAACCAATCTAAACCAAGTAAATTTAGATCAGCTGGCGTTATATAGCATACCCCAGTAAACGACGAATCTCGGAAAGCAACTTTACATTCCAATTGTCCTAACAGACGAAGATAATTACCACATGCTGTACGAGGCTTTTGTGTTGTGTGCTGCAGGCTTGGGTTGCCCAATTTGATCCAATTTTTGCGTGAGAGGATAGTGACATCAGATGCAGTATCTATTTGCATTCTACACAAATAACCGTTAATATTAAGAGTAATAAATTTCCTCTCACCTGGTGATGAGCTTTGGCAGGAAGATATTAGGCTCAATGCATTGGTACTGGATCTAGGAACAGGCTTCTTAGCACTTCTGGATCGCTTTGGCTTTTTCTGTAGGCAAAAGCCATCTTTATGACCGATGACTTTACACTTCCTGCATCTATGCTGCCTAAATGGGCAGTTCCGTACATAGTGCCATGAACCGCAGTGCCAGCAAGCAAAAGGTGGATTCATTTTGGGTTTTTGGGCCGAATTGGAGCGGGGTGAACTGGGTGTAGCATGGGCAGACTTATAATGATTAGGTGGCTGCTGTACCAAATGAATTTCAGATCGGCTTGAGCTACCACTCTGAACTATAGTCGAGTCTCGTTGTAGGTCAGTGAGACGTTGGTACTCATGAGCCATATCATTAAGTGTAAGCTTTGGATCTTGCTCCAACCGACTTAGTAGCCTTGTTCTAATGTCACTGAACTTACTCGACTGGAGGCTGCAGATGAGAATGAGGGCTTTGAACTGGTCTTCCGACAAAGACTTCAATCGAAAGCGTTCGCATTCACGGTTGACGATGCCCACGTGCGTAAGAAAATCATCATCTTCGTTCATAATAAGCTTCAAACATCGATAACGAGTATTAAATAGTGACGAGTTGTCTCCAAAGTGTTGGCTTAAAGTCTGAACAGTCTCAGAAAACGAACAATCTCGTGGGTTCAAATTCATTTGTTTCCTTAACAGCTCCAACATACGTTCCTGCAACTGTTCATATCGTTTACCTTGACGTTCCAGTAAAGATTCTAACTGTTCAAGGTTAATTGACATTGTGAATTGTGAGCCCCGTCGCCACTGATATGTTCGTCACTTAGGATGCTTGAGGCTATTACGAGTTTACCTTAGTCGATAAACGCGAACGAGACTTTTACCAGCTTCCAGGAAGGCTACCCTGAATCCAAACGGTAAAACAGAAGTCTTGGTAAGCGCAGAAAGTATATTCTACAAGCACCCAGCAATCCCAGTACAATCAAGCATACAACTCTCGTTTATTTATACAACATAACAACGTCCTTGAGACAGTTAAGAAAATAGCATACTAAAATACACTGTGGCCAATCACAGCCATTGATTTTCCTGGTGGGAATTGAGATCTCAAGGTCATTTGATCAGCCCCTGCTGGCGAACGTGAAAACCGAAATACGGCATTATCAAGCGAATTTTGGGGATCTAACATCCCCAACACTTTTAAACTTAAAAAGTAAACTAAATCGTAAAATTAATGCTGATGAAACCAGAAGTTATGGACGAACCCATGAAATTAAAGATAGTAAATCTTGGAATTGGCTTGAAATTCTTTCATCCATATAATCAAATAGCATTTGGTTATCATAGCTGATGTCAGTTTGTTCTTAAAACTCTAACTATAACTCTTAAGCTCGACTTCAAACTCTAGATCCAAATCCTAATCCCTCAAACTATTTTACTAACTTCTCTTGCATTAGTAAGTAGTAGAATTTTCTCAAGTTCACTTTAATATTGCCCAAAGGTCATCTCATCTAAATATCTATTCAAAGTGGATATTTAAACAGTTTATTATTTTATACATTGACAATAACTTGCCTGTTTCCATTAGTTCAGTGACATTATATATCGTATATGTATATATAGGGTTGGCTACGATCACTTAAAATTGAGATAAGTGAAATGTTTTTTGATATCACGTATCCACAGGAAGTGACTCTGAACTATGAATTCAAGGCTAGAAGTGCTGAACATCAATTACTGGATGGGTTACCGGTATATCTAAGCAACTTTAGATATTGAGGACCTACCTATGCAACTAGTGTTATCATAAGAACAATTGAAGTGATTTACGAAGTTGATATTTGAGGATAATATCTGATACGACATGCAAACTATACTGTCTAGACAGCTTATGTTGATTTAAGAACACCCTAGATCCAACCTACCGTCAGATTGCTTTGTTGATACAATTAATCAGGAACAGCCGATCCAGAGCAGCTGAATACCTAAACAAACCTTAAGAAGATCATTAACACAACATTGCCTTCTGCAAAAGCAAGACACATTAAACCAATCAGAAATCTTCAAACGATAAATAAACATGATTGACCGGGAAATGAGATACACTGCTGATAGACTTTATTTTTTAAAGGGTAGACGTATACATATCAGTGACTACACATGCATAGAATTCAGTTTAGTTAAATAAGTTCCTTTTTTCCCCCAACTTTTCTCACGAGTCACCGGATCTGGGTATCAAAAGAGTATGTATCAGTATCGGCTATCGGACACCGCGCATCACATTACTTATTACCACCTGTACTTATAGATGTCCTTCGAGAAAGGGTGAAATGGATGAAATGCTTACTGATTAGTTGTATTTAGAATAAAATCAATCTCTTAAACATTTTAATGCTTACCGCTTTGTTTCAAGTTAGTGCAGAGTCATTGCATCTATGAATAGAGAAAACTGTGAAAACGAAAGACAGGGTTTTGTCCTAAAATAATGTTCTTGTAAAATTGAAGTCAGCATATAAATGAATAATTATGAAACCATGAAGTTTACACTGAATCAGAACACAATACACTTTGTGTCAACGATAAAGGATCAACTGTTAACAAGAGGACCTCAGAAATAGAAACAAGTCAGTTGAGGGTAAAAGGTCTGTAGAGGAAAAGATAGAACGGAACCAGATGACTATGAAAAAGGAAAAAGTTGCTAGAGACTATGGAAAAAGAATAGGTTTTAAGTCTCTTTTTTTACACACAATTATAGCTTAAGAAGACGGAAACCAACTGTAAATGACTTTGAACACAGAGTCCGTTTTGTTCGAATGACCAGTGTTCATGAAGTGTTTGATTGTAAAGCTTCCTAATAAGCCATTCCCACTTATTTTCGGCCAAGCCTAATAATGTGCTTGAGTTCTTTTGAATAAAGAACTTATCGAATAACCTATATACCTGGCTCCACATGAACAGATATTTTGAATATTGAACTATGTACTTATTGACCATATGTAACTTAAAATTGAAACACAGGAAGATATAGTGTGGTAAAGCAACTGAAATTTACAAATGATAGACAGATTTAGTGTTTGATCCTATTTCAATAGACGCTAATTACCTTTAATATTAGTTTATTACCTGAAGCAATTAAAGAGTCAGATTGTACTATAATGTTTGTAGCTCACAACAGAAGTTAAAATTTAAAGATCATCATTTTCATCGATATAATCAATTAGTGTAATATATGTGATTTAATGAGTATTTTAAAGACTTTTTCTGTTATGTTATTATTGATTGGTTTAGTAGAATTTTACAACATGATAAAATCTGTATATGGAACAAATGCACTTTTGTCTAGCTTTATTAATATTTAAAATTTCACTAAAGAAAATACAATTTAGTTATCGACTGTTTAATTTATATAGTCGTAGTTAAATTGCAAATTTTTTTAACTTATTTGCTAATAATTTTAAACAATATTAATAAAACAAGGTAAATATATGTTGTGTATCATGATTTTAAAGAGTTTAAACATGAATTTGTGATCTTTTGATAAAAAATTTTCTAAGATAACTCAAATATTATAGTGTTTCATAGAGTTCATTTTGAAGAATATTTATGTGAAAATTAAATCCATTTAAAGCTGAAATATTTATATTAGTTGCAAAATAGTTTCTAATGGTTAGTTTTATAATGTTTTTACTTTGGGATTTTTTTTTCATATACTATCAGCCTTCTTATTATTTGGTATACTTTGAAGGCAGTATAGTATGTAAAGTAAGGTATATGCATCAGTTAGATAATTTGAACAATATATATATATATATATTCCATGTATATAATTGTTACTTCATAGTAACAATTATATAATTTACTTTGTATAATGTATCTAATAAAATGAACAACATATAAGGTCGTCATGTAAAAATTCAAAATATTCAGTATCATAATTATCTGGTTCATATAATAGAGCAGGAGCTAAGTTGACTGTCTCTCCTATACAGTACAACTTGAACTTATCAATAATTTTTAATTTAAATGTCCTTTCAAACAAGCTATTGGTGAATGTTTTCTTAAACAAACATTACAAAATAGCTGTTTGATATTTATTATCATTTTTAATAATGGTATCAAATATACTTTGGATCAGTATGAATAGTTATCTATATTTTTTCATAGGTTAACATGTAATATCAACAATCGCACTCAACCTTACCGTTGTATTATTTTATATTATTTCTCTTTTTTCAATCTAGTTATTCTGTAAACTTTCTATGGTTGATAAATATTGTACTGAAGCGCAAAGATACCTTGGTCAATCGTGTTCATTGTTCCCTTTAAATTCGACATCCCCCAATGATTATGAACAAATGAATGATTTTGGTGGATCAGAAAGTTATCTTAACAGATTAACTCATGAACTTGTTATGAGTATATTATCACCTTCGGTAGTAAAAAGAAAAATTCAATGTTTAACTGAAAAATCGGAAAAGTTAAGAAATATCTTGTCTGCATTGTAAGTTAGCATAGTTTTATGGAAACAAAACAATTTATTTCATTTATATTAGTTATTTTGTTCGCCTAATTGATTTTATGGACTGAGATTGATCAATCTCTTTTGATATATGTGTTCATCCTCTGAGGATTGCCTTGAAAATTGTTCTTTGGATCTTCGCATTGAAGTTATCCATGTAACCAATATCAATGAATTGAAATTCACTCCCCTATTTAAGCCCAGTAGCTAAATAGACTCATCAACTAAATAAATAACACAGTGAGTGTTTGAAGGGAACAATACTGGATTCGGGTGCCGAAATAAACATCAAAACAAGTACAGGTACATCCAGTTGACGAATCACAAATCGGATTTACTGGATTCCACTACTAGCTACTGCTCAACTCTGCTCAAAATACTATAATTGACTTACCATTTGAATTAAATTGTAGTGTGTTCATGTTATAAAGTTTTTATTTTATCAATAGTGATTGGAATATGCTAAAATTACAGTTGACTATTTTTGAATTCTCGCAACAGACAAAGAATTTACAAAGTTATTGTAAGAATAAATGTAATTTAATATGATAGTTGAGATTATTGTTTCAACCACTACTTATTCAACATATATAATGAAATTATATTTCATTTATTTTTTCAAGATAGACCGATTAGCCTATCCTGTATGTAAGTAAAATAATCAGTATTTATTGACCAATATATTGTAGGCTTATTATTAGGTGAGAATGACTCATAATAATATAAAGACATTTCAACACCATTCTAATCAATAATCCCAAGTGTTTATTGTGCTTATAATAAATAGGTTTGTGAAAATAATCAATTTTTTTTTATTTTTTTTTGTAACAAATTATCTTTTTTATAGCAACATTATTGTCTAAATATTGAAATGAATTCATTTTGTTTGTTCGTTTAAGCTTTCAATAGCATAAATTTTATGAAGTCAACAATTAATTGTCTGTCCCCAATTTATTTTATGATGTCGAACTAAGCACTTCGTTCTGTAGACAAATATCTAATCAATATTACAAGATTGTAAATAACAACAATGAAATATTTGTCTAGTTAGTTTTAGTGTAAGGGATATTTTTATACTTTATAAATAATTCATTCAAAGATTAATATCTGTTGAATGTTTGCGTAAGTATGTTTCTATTATTTTTCACTTCAGTGATAAAAAAAAAACAAACATTTTTTCCTATTCCATTTTTAGAAAAAAAAATATACTACTACTACTACTACTGCCACTAATTTGATTGTTTATATAATTTTTTCATACTGATCTTTGTTATTATTAATTTATTCATTATTAATTATAAAAATTATCATTAATCACATGTCGATATTTTAACATTATTTTTCAGTGAGGATAATGCAAATGAAATGAATGCCTTTCGAGATCAGTTATGTTTAGCGATACCACAATTAACTGGTTATCATTTATCTAATTTAATAAAAGCTGTAGATCAATTAGAAATATCAGCTAATAAGAACTTAAATGAATCATGTCTAACAGATCCTGTTGAAAAAAGGCATCCAGAGTTAGGCATATATTTAAAGGTAAGAAGAAAAGAATGTTTTATGAAGATGGTTAGTTTTCACAGTACCTTTAATAACATTTTCTCGTCAGAAGTAATTTGTTGGCAGGATAGTTAACTTTCTACCTCGACTTTGATGTGTACAAGCCACATTTAAAACCATAAGTCTCTTTTTTTCCCTTCTGAGAGTTTTTCCTGTCAGAACTATTTCTTTTCTTTTTAGCGAAATTATGTTCATTATCGGATCATATTTGAATAACGATGATGATTAAGATTAGTGATTTTTCAGATTAACTCCAGTCAACTAATTGATAAGGTCTATGCGAATAATAACAATACAATTTTTTTTAAACCGAAAGAAAGTACTGTCACTTTCACTTGCCTAAATCAAGCATTTTACTAAAACTTCCCCTAAATTTATGTGTAAGCTTTGTAAACTGAGAGCTACTCATCGACCAGTTTCATCAAATCTTTGTTTTCCTTCTAAATTTACGTTAATTGTCTTACTGTTTTGATTTTTTACAGCATGCTGGTCAACGATTAATGGAATTGGAAACCTGTTTGGAACATAGTCGTGAAGCTGCTAGTATTCTCATATATTTTGAATGTGAATCTCAGTTCTTCTGGTCAACAAAATTGCCTTCATTACCAAGTAAAACCAGTGAAGTGTCACTGGAACGTGGTCTTCTTTTCCAGTCTCATTTTAAAACTTCTCCTGTAGCTGCTAAACTTCATACAGCATGGATGAAATTAACACAACTAGGTGACCGCCTTGGCCGAATACAAGCTGGGTAGGTTAATATTTTGTGAGAAAATGAAGTTAAATGAATTTCGCTTTCACTAAAACTGTAATATATAATGCCACTGGAAATCAATAATTTCCCAAGCCTTCAATTTCGTCGTTTAGAATAAAGATAACCCAAATCATTCATCTATGGAGTTATAAATTGGTCTTAATATTTTCCATGATTGTAAGGAAGTTAGTCTGATGGCTTCCTAGATTAATTTTATTCATGATTCGAAATTTTAGTTCACCATAATTACATATATATATATATATATATATATATATATATATATATATACTTCATTATAGAGTTTATGGAGATCATTGTTTTACATTGAATTGGTGAATCATTGTTAGACTACCATTTGAGGCCTTGGAAGCGCTGGACAGCCGTTTCGTCCTAGTATGGGGCTTACAGCAGTGCGCATTCACGACTCTTGCTCGCGGGAAACGAACCGTGACTAGCAAAGTTCAACCCTGTTGAGTGTATGTAGTAACTACCGAAGACAATGAGTGCGGTTGGACAAAATCCTTAGATTAACCGAAACTAGATATTAACACCGCTGGATAACTGGCTAAGTGTTCTAAAGGTTAGGCGTTCCCGAACAGGACCAAAAGTGCTGGTTTCGATTCCAACGAGCGAAGTTCGTGGATGCGTACTTCTAAAGAGTCACATACTAGGACTTGACGGTCTTCCAGTGCTTCCAGGTTTCTAATGGTTGTCTAACAGTGATTGATTCATGATTTCAATACATATATATCTGTTAAAATGATATTTTTTTCAATACAGGTTACCTGTTCGCCCAACTGAAGCAAATGGAGTAGAGCGTTGCGTGAGTACAACTAATTTAATCCTTCTTAATATATATATATATATATATATATATATATATATATATATATATTTACCCATACAAAAACATTCAAGTATTTGTTTACAGATTCTAACTTGAATGAACAACTATTATATTCAAGATAATTGTTCCTCAAATTTATAGTTAGATATGCAAATAATGCAATAACCTAGTTATAAAATCTCAACATACTTCATTTTGAAAATCAAAGTCTTTTGGGGCACGATGTAATAGTTTGGTTGCAAACGTCGACTTCTAGAATAATATACAACTTTCATAAGGCTGTTCAACAGTCAGTCAGTTACAACGTTGTTGGGGACACTGGATCCCCAGAACTCACTTGGTGAGGGTCTTAATTTTGTATTTCATTCATGGGCTGATCAGTTGACCTTGAGATTACATTTCCCATTAGGAAAATCCTTGCCTGTGATTGGTTGATGTGTTTTTCTAGTATGCTTGTGTCTCTCCCAAGGACGTTTCTATGATGTATAAATAAATGCAATTTGTGTGCTTGAGATCATTGTATTTGCTGGGTGTTTGTACAATACACTTTTTTCGCCATATCAAGACTTTTTCTTCAGTTAGTTGGGGCAACGGATCAGAGTATCCTACCGTGTCACTGAGTCATTGTCTCGTTCTCGTCTATCGACTAGGGTGAACTCGTAATAGTTTCAAGCATATCAAGTGACGAGCTTAGCAGACGTAGAACTTCGTACCAAGTACATCAGTTCAAGTTGCCATACTATATTAGCACAGACGCAATTGTCAATTCAAATCCTATTGTAGTAGAGGTAGTAGAAGTATTAGTAGTAATCAGATGGATAAGGGTTTCACGATATTATTCAAGATGTTGAATCTGACTAAACAAACCTAAAAAAAGACTGAAAGGTGATAAAGCATCCAGAAGATTAGAATTTGAGAGAAGCCAAAGAATGGATGCACCTGCTCCGTCCATCATGAGTACGCTGTTAAAACATGTTTGTTGTTTTTTGTGTGTGTTTAAATGAGTTTCAGTCGAAAAATCTGAAACTTAGATTAAAGTATCTTTGCTTTAAACAGTGATCTTCTTCGTGTCTCTATTTTCTGAAAGAAAGTTTAGAAAAACAATGTGCTAAGGAATTTGTGTTATAGATTGACATTAAACTGTGAAATAAGTAACTACTATGTATTACATAAAATACTGAAAGTTTTTATCTCAGTTGATGCAACATTCAAAATCTTGAGTGATTCAACTTTTTATTGAACTAAGAGAGGAAAAACAAATTTTGTTAGATGTTACCACCACTAGATGCTGCTCAGTGGTCTCGAGGTTAAACGTTCATGCGTGGAACCGAAGTTTCAGAGTTGATTCCCGCTCGCTGGCTTGTGAGTGCACACTGCTGATGAGTCACACGCCATAACGAACTGGTCGTTCGTTGCCTTTAGTTTTTCAATGGTTTTGATGTCAATGAAACACAGTAATTATTTCTTTTAATAAATAGAAACGAGATCGATAGCTCAGTCAGCTCGACGTAAATTTTCCATATCGATTTTACATCGTTTGAAATATTTATTTTATATATTTTCATGAAGGAAACGTATTATTCTCCATCATTACTGAGATGTCTTCAAGCCTCCGTACCAAATAACCACTGTGAGATACCCTTATCATCCCCACAAATGCATCATCGTTTCTCCACAGTTCTTCAGAGTCACTTATCTTCAACACAAACTCAACCAAACATGTCAGATGAACAGCGAACAAAATTAATGAAGATTGATAGGAAAAGGATTAATTGCTGGAAAAATGACGATTTGAACGTATTTACTACGGAATTTCCGTACGTTAGTGCTGATAAGTTACGTCGTAAACAAACTAATCTGCGAGATGCACTTGGATCACACATGTGTGTTCATCCTGATTGTAAAACTTCAAGCGGGAAATGCATGTCAATTCATACCGTTCATAATGAGAATCAAGTATGTTTTTCGCATACCCAAATTTCATTGACACTGATGTTTTCAACTGTCATTTTACATCAAATTATCAGAGTTATGATTGTGAAGTCACATGAATATTGCACCTATTCGTTTCTGAGGTCGTAAAGCGAAACTTGTTCTTAGTCTTCTATCTGGTGTAAAAAAAGGAAATCAAGCTTTAAGTTATTCACATCTTAAACTGTTTTCTTTAAACTTTAAGTGTCATCAGAGGTTACTAAAAGTTTCAAAACTTGATTAACTGTTATGTGATAAGAATTAATAATTTGTTGAAGAAATATTGATCATTGTTCCCCTCACCGAAACGTAAGAAGAAAGTTAAAGTAAGACAATTATTAAACTTGCAATTTACATCATTAGAAAAAGAACGAAGAACAAAGTAGAATAAATTATTGAGTATGATTCTTTTGTTCGAAGAATGAATGATTAAATCGGTGAATCGTGAATCCGAACTTTTTTTACAGTCGATTTTTTGACTTCGTAAATAATTTTAGGCAGTGATTTTCACTGCCAAAGTTAACTGTGTAATAGTGTGAGATTCGTATAAGCACTTCATCTAATCATGTTTGTATTATGATGATTATCAGCCTTTCTTAATTATCATACTGTCATTAACACTGACAACAATATTCGTAACCCGTATTATAGGTAAACGTCATAATTCCGAAACTTCTTAATCCTAGTACCTGAGAAAATCAAATCTGTTTAATGTTAGTTGAACGAAGACTTATTATATTTCTCTCTGTCCTTTTTGCCCTGGAATTTCACTGGTTCTTTGAAACCGAAATATCACTAATGATCTCTGTGTTAATCAGTCGCCTAGGAATTGTTTTAGTCATGTGAGCATCATTTGGGTTTAAAAATGTGAGCATACCATTTGGGTTTAAAAATGAAATTACACGTTCTGTAACATCATTAACGTTAAGATTTCACTTACTTTAAGTTAACATTTGAAACTCTAATTTCAGGCACCGTATAAAGGTATTTGTATCTATCTGACATCTCATACATTTTTTTATGAATTAACACACCGGCAACATCCGTTTTACTAAAATAATGTTAGACTACTTAAAGTTTTATCAGTAGCGTCTATCTTTTTATCTAAATATCGATATGTACTGACATATGTTTCAACTGGACCTGATTAAATGTAACCTTGTATACTTTCATGGCTTCCATAAACTTCCTTGAATATTGATGGGAATAAGCTGATTGAATTATTATGGTTTTTTTACTAACTGCATCATAGTGAAGGTTCCTGAATTTCATTGAAATCACGAATCGATCTGAGTGAGACAACCATTGAAAACTTTGAATGGTTGGATGGCCGTTTCATTCAAGTATGGGACTGCCCATCAGTGCCTACCCACAACCTTGTGACTCATGATCGAACCCAGGACCTTCATTTTCGGAAACTAAACATATCACTGAGCCGAGATCCAACAGTCCAACTCCGATCACCCCATGATATTAGAAGATGGTCGCGTAAAATCGTGGATTGATTTAGGGGTGAACCGGCAATCCGGCACTTCCAGATTTTCAATGGTTACCTAACTTAGATTGGTTCGTAATTTCAATGATTTTTTACATTTCTATATTTTTAAGTACTTATTCCATTGCACAGTTAACAAAATTTTTTTCACGTTTCAATCGTTTCAATTATTTCTGTAGACCATCCATTCAGGTTAATTGATTTTTGAAGTTCAGTCGTTTTTGTGGTAAATTAACAATCCGTGTGAACTTAATTATGTACCGTTACCTGCTTTCAACTAAAAACACGAAATTAATTATCACTTTACCTGTATAATTAAGGTACTATTTATTCATGTCATCAATAAGAAATATCAATATCATATAAGTCTAATAATTACTAGTGAAGAGTTTAAGCATTACAGATATTTATTCATTCATATATTTGAAGTAAACAATTCAATCATTTTCTTGTTATTAATGGTAATAATGAAATCATTAAGAGTAGAAATGTATAAATAGTTAGATTTTCTCACATCTAGAACAATATTAATCAATTTATGAGTCATCATTTTAAAGAACCATAATAATTTTATGCTTGAAGTCATGTTTTATTTCAATGTTTAATAACCCATATGTAAAAATTTTTCGTTGATTTCTGTTCCAATAGTTTTGTTTTATTGAATCTATCTGAATGCACATTTGTTGTTTCATGTTAACAATTTACTCCGCTAGTTAAATATTGAGAATAAAATTGAATGGATATTTAAAAAGTTGGTAAACCTACACACTTATCTACAAAATGATTACAATGAATCATTTAATTGTGAAGAATTACAACGACAAACAATTTCAATTTCAATGTCGGAATTATGTGACCTGGTTAGATATGCACGTCGGTTACGATGGCATAAGTCTCATAGTTTGCAGTCAGAGTATCAAGAACTAAAAAGTCTTATTGATGAGTTAGCGAATTCCGAGCATCCAAAAGTTGCCATCCTTCAAGAATATTTTCAATCCTTAGAAGATTTATGGTTTGGTATGCAGAAATCTCAAGTCAAGTTAAGTGATTGTACAAATGAAGCTTCATCGTATTCAAGATTATCTATTCCACGAAATGTACCGGGACAACACTCAGTTAAATCTGACAATACAGAATTACAGGGTAATAATATTGATTCTAAACAGTATACCCCTGGTGACACTTCCTCTCATTATCAACCTTTCTCTGTACACTCTACAACTTCAACAACTATTTCATACAATCCTATTTCTATGTCGCAGGATTATACAACACATTTTATTCAAGGAGTAAACGACAAACCTTCAAATAATGATCTGCAATTAGTCAAAAAACAAATCGACAGTTCTTATGCAGATGAACACTGTGACTGGACGTGGCGTGAAATGACAACTCATAGATTAGGCCCACAACCACTTGTGTTTCCCTCTTCTGCAAATGCAAATCATATCTTTCAAACTGTAAACTTAAAAAAAGCATATGATCCTACTACTTCAGTTGATTTGCAATTAAAAAATGAAACTACTAAATATTCCGATGCTATTATCGACAAAATGATTAGTGAATTATCCTCAACTACTTCATCGTTTCAAAAGATTTCTTCGGATATGAATGGAACTAATTCGGGAACTATATTTGTTGAAAAAGAGAGTACTTTGGCTGTAGACAACAAAACCCTTTCGAGTATACATAACCATGGAATAAAAGTTTTACCAAACAATAATTTGGAGAGTGATAATCGGTTACTAAAAGTTATTTCCCCTAGCGTCAATCACAGAAATTCAGTTTTACGGTTTAATAAAGTGTGTATTGAAGTCCCGTTATTGCCAAACGATGTTAAAAAGAATTTTAAAGTCAAATCACAGTCTGCTGAAATCAATTCTCATAGTGGACTTACGAATTCTATGACTGATATTGTCCAAACAAACTCGTGTATGTCTGCTTTAACCTTGAGTTCACAGCATGAGCATTGTATAGATGCTTTTCATAAACCTGATGGAGTAGTGACTTCAAATAGTCGAATATCGCATTCTACTATTGATCATATTAAATTCAAACCAGTGAATATATGTTTTGATGACAAAGCATCAATAGAACTACTCCCTAACAAGCTACTTAGTAGTCAAATTCATGTGAATACTAACACATTAGATTCATTAGGTGAAAGCATTGCAAATGAACAAAAGAAAGGCATAATCAATAAATTCTCACCTAATACAACGTTGGATGTAAGTGAAAAACATGAATTTATCGGAAATAATTATATTCTTTCAGATAGACAATTACAAATTTCTTCACCAAATATAACTCCAACTACAATATATAACATCAATAGACAGTCAGACTTTCATGATGTTAGTACTAATGACTCAGTTTTTCCAACTTCAATCATGACGCCAACAGCTACAACAATTAAAATCAATTTGACTGAGCATACATTGAAGTTTGGTCAAAAGGAAAATAGGCCGGAAACAAAAGAAAGTTGTTTAACAACTTCATTACATAGAATAGATCAATCATGCGAATCTTGTTCTCCTATAATACAAGCATCATCTGTACCACTTTGTCTTCATTCTTCTTCTACTAAGAGAGATCTCAATGCCAGAAAAATATTTAATGAAATTTACCAATGTCATCATCTTGATTCATCTTTCATTTTTCATGAGGGTAACAATGTTAATGCTAATCACAACAATATCAACTCAATGTGTGGTCTATGTAATCACATGAGTAACTTACATACACTTATTTCTAATTTACAGTCACATTTATTATCGAATCGACAAAATCGATTATCCAATTTATTGCCTATTGACGTAGAATCATTCACATTGACATCATCGTCAATTTCATCATTATCTTCCTACTGGTCACCAATAATTAAAGAATATTTATCGATTCTATGTGAAATTAAATCGGAACTTAATTCATTCCAGTCATTACATTCTGTTACTGAATATAGAATTATTCATTTACCAGAATATAAATCAATGATTGATTTACTCAATATATGGGATTGTAGATTACATGATTTTCTATGTCTACGTTCGTCGGACTCCTCTAAACCCGGTGTTGATATACCTCAAACACGTTGGCTTACACTATTTATTACTATTATACAACATAATGAAATTCAAGTGGAGTATTTAAAAACAGTTTTTACAAGTTTATTACATGGTATTGAAAATGAGGACTATGAATCAGTGAAATGTAATATAAATACGGACGACACTAGTGATAGGAGTTCTTGTTTGTCACAAATAATCCGATATGAAGACAATTCACACTGCAGTCGAAGGGATCCAACTGAAAGGTTTGCTAAATCATCTAAAACTGAATATTTGAATGACCTTAAAAGTAGATTATTCTCTCATGATTTTGATGACCAACAAACTATATCGTTATCACTAGAACAACCAGCATCAGTACAACCATTGGTTACTTTTTCAAGAGAAAAGACGAGTCATTCATTTCAGACTAAAATGACAAAAGTAGACAATGAACATAAACCTTTCACTGTCTTTAATACAATTAGCATCCATAGACAGACACATGAGGATAAAGAACAAACATCTCGACAATCAAACAGTTTTGATAAAATGTCGTTTGAACAATATTTACATAGTCTATCTCAGAATAATTCTTGTAAAATAGTCAATGGTATAGATTCAGTTGATAAAACATTTACACAGAAAGCTATTCAAGAAACTAAAAATTCTGAGTTTAAAAAAGGTACTACTAGAGCCAATCAGATTACAATAGGAAAAAGTAAAATGAAGAAAACTAGGAAACGTAAGTTCAAGAATGAAGAGTTTTCAGAGAAGAAGTATAATAGTGGTGATATAAATCTTAAAGATACTTGTGATAATATTGTAAATAATCAACCCTGTGATATAACATGCATATCCAGAACGGTGGACAATTCAGTTCTAAGTGATCAAATGTTAAAAAATGAAACAGACATTGATGTAGTGAATGATTCTGATAAACATCGAAACACACCAGTTTATTCTAGTTCACCAATTTCAAATGTAACAAAGCCATACAATGATAATCGAATTCTTCCACAAGAGTCTGATGAAATGAAGAATGCTGTAATTCAAAACAATGAAGTAATATCATATTGGTCTTCAAATGATGATAATCAAATGACTGGTTTAAGCAATGAATCAACGGAAATAAATGATCTAGCTAACATCAACGATACAGTGAAGCGTGGTGATGATTTGGAAGTAAAGCTGAAATCAGACGAAACAGTCAGTCACCCAAACAAATCAGATAACTTATCACTAAATATTACGTTACATTCAAATAATTCAACACTAATGAGAGATTCAAATACAGTTAATGGTCAAAGTGACAGACATTCCGTTAGTGATATCTTGAAGGGTTCTTATTGTGATGATCAGCAAATGTCTATACGTTTTGCACGACCAAATACAAGACTATTGAGGGAAATTAATAAAAGTTGCTCTACTAATACTTGTAGTAATCCATTTAGTCCCAAAATAACTTCATTTTCTGTTGAGACATGTCCTGCATTAAAATCTGAACAGGATGAAGAAACAAATAAAACTAGCAAACGAATTTGGATGGATAATCCAGCTAGTACAAGTTTTGAGTCAGCTAAATCAATGGTTACACGTAGAACAAATCGAGATCAGAATCATAGTTTCAATATGAACTCAAAAGTTCGAACTGATCAATGCTCAAAATCCACTGAAACCATGAAAAATAACAATGATAAAGTAGAAAATTATACTAAAAAAATAAGTCAAAATATATCATCAAAAGGCAAGTGGATTAGTCCTCATATGGATTTTGATCGACATGATGAGTTCACTAACGATTATGAAAGTCTTGATAAATTTGCATCAACTAACAAGAAATCACGTAAAGCAAACCGGAAGATTGTAAAAAGTCATCGAAATAAATGTACACTGATTAACAACTTAGAATTAAACAGTGAAATTAATAAATCTCCCGCAAACTGTCCAGAAAGTCATCCTGAAAGTCTTACTGACAAACAATTTAATATATGTTTACAACCCAAGTGTAATTCCAAACTAGATAGTGATGCTACATCACGTTCTGCATCTACACGAGAAATATCCACTACAAGAATCCCGACAACAATATCATTAAAATCTGGTTTCTTTGAAAAACATCAAACAATTCCTTCCTATAAGGAAACTCAACTAGATTGCACTGATCAGAATATCTTCCATACTTCCGATCATCAACAATCTAATCATAGACCAGATATTGGGAGTCTTTCCATATCCACCACATTGATTGATTGTGAAACTTTATATGACCGAAATGCTGAGAATTGTTCAACTACTGAACATTCATCAGTTACATCAGTAGAATATACAAAGCGAAAGACTGATGCTCCAGTCAGATTGGAATCAACACACACAGATAATGATGATTCATGTTTATTCGGGAATAAATTTGATACCGAAGCAACTGAGCAATCTAAACTCTCGTTAACTGATCTATCATATCAAATGAAGTACTTAAATAATTCTTCCACTGATATTCAACAAGAGATCCAAAAGAGTGAATCATCAGTAAACAATCTGAATACTAACAATCAATACAATGAAAATGATATATTTAAGAAAAATTTTATCAATCAATCAGAATATGTTTATCATACAGGGAATGATAAGAACATGGATAAAAGTAATTATGATCAACATTTAATGTATCATCAGTATCATGATAAACATAGTCCTCAACATAATTTTTCAGAGCATACAAAACACCAACAAGCATATAAATCAGAAAATATTCATGTTTTACGCAAATCTCTCATGATAAATCAACATGAAAACTTAGGTAAAATACCAACTTACTCTAAAAGAAGTAACAACAGTATTCATGATCGAGTAAACTCACTACCTAATATATTCAATTGTGAAAGATTAACAAATGACTCATTTATCACTAATGAAAACTGTTTAAAGTGTAAGAGAGAGCAAGTAAGTCACTTTGTACTTTCTTTGCATTAATAATAATAATAATAATAACGATGAAATTAGTGATTTACTTGGAACTAATGTAGTCCAAATATTTCGAGGATGAATCGGTTACTTAACGATATCTTTAGATGCTAGTTACGCTATGCTAGAGATTGACTAAAGTTTGGGACGTAATCTGTTATACAACAGCCCAGTGATCTAGAGGCCTAGCGGTCAGTTGGTGACGTTCAGAGTCTGAGGGAGAGGAATCGCAAATCCTCACTGGCTGAAGAGTCTTGATCTAATACAAAGCAGATATCTAGTGTTCCTTAGCTTTCAGTAGATCTCCACCTAAGGTTAACGCACAAGTGAAGCTACCTACAAGTGAGTTAGTTTCCATAATTGTTCCCGTAAATAATTAAGTCTCATGTTCTCTTTTTCAATGGTCTCTTTAGCGTACGTTCCAAGTAATAAATAATGTGACCTGTATCAAAGATAATTTGATTTCTTTTTACTTTCATTAAATTTATGCTACGACTTTTGCAGGTAATGTCAAAAAATATGACTCGTGAAGCTGACTTACATAGAAGGTAAGTATGATCCTCTGTCAATACCCATCTTAATATTAATTTGCTTTACTCATGTCGCGCGCGTTGAATGTCACAATGGATGCTTAAATGTTCGCTTTTGAGGTATTTAGCATCTAACCATTGCAAAAAGAATACATAAATCCCGAAGTATGAAATACCACAGAAAAAGGCTAGTGTTATGACTTGGGACGCGCTAATCGATATCATATACCGAATTCACCAATCAGTCCTTAGAGTTGGTCTAACTGTATCGATTAATTCGCTGTCTGGTTAGTAGTTCAAGTGACTCGATATGACATATGTTATGTTTTGATATTAGATGATTGGAAGTAGTCGGGAAGAAACCCTAGACTTATGTTTCATACTTGATGGTTTTCTTTAGCAAGGCATAATTAGAATTATAAAGGGAATGATGCTCCCTGTGGTTTTCAAGCCAGTGTCACCCAAGCTCATTCATATTCTAGGATGTTACCACTAAACTATTCGGGTTGTGTAGTAATGTCAATCTGAGTGGTGCAAGTTCAAATGTTATAAAAAGCACCAGTTCTCTCAAGATTGTAGGTACACCATGTTGACAAGTTAACTGGAAACTTATGTCCAATGTTTTCCCTCAAGTACATCCAGTCACTTCACATCAAGAAGAAATAACTTAATTTGACACTAGCATTCGACTTTGTTGGTGGGTGTATGAGTTAGACGTTTCTCTACTTCAGATTTCAACTTATTTTGATTTGAATAATAATATTGAGTAGTTCATTTTATTATTAATTAAATTAGTATAAATCATTCAACCATTTTTCTATTGAAAATCAACTCATTTAAAAATACATATTACGAGATGAATTTTTTATGAATTGTAAATTTCCAATCATACACCAAGTTGTATTATAAACATAAGGTTCAGAAAAAAAAAGTTTGTGTTGTTATCCATTGAGGTTATTCAGCGCGTTCTGTTTCATCCGATAAGTAGATCATTAGTTCAGTGAGTTTATAATTTTTTTTATACTTACTTCACTAGTTACAAAATACGTTGAACTGGGAGGTTAAAACAGTCACAGATGTTTGTTAATCAGTAAATGATTACTTTTTGTAATGAAGTCATCATATCAAATGGGAATCTGTTTTCAACTGACCATTTTATCCTGATTTAAATAAACTAATCGATGTACGTTTAAGCTGCCAAATAGGATCGAATCTATATGTCTGTATGGAATTTTTAAATTTACCTATTTTTTCTAACTAATAGAGTTAATAAAAAGTAAGATTGCGCACTAGTGACATTTTATTAATAATAATTAATCATAATCCAACGATTTCGATAACAACCTCAACCTAGAACGAATGCATAATTTTTCCATAAAGTAACGAAGTTCAATTGAAGAACCATTAACTTTTGCGACTTGTCAATAGTCCATCCTACCCGACAACTTCTAGCTGAATCTAACCCAGGTTTTCTAGGATACCATCAAATGAATCAATCATTGTTGGAACACCATTAGAAACCTGGAAGTACTGGACGGCCGTTTCGCCCTGGTATGGGATTCATCAGCAGTGCGCATCGACGACTCCTGCACCTCGCAGGATTCGAACCCGGGACCTTCGGTATTGTGTGCGAACGCCTAACCATCGGACCACTGGGCCGGCATCCAACGGTGTTAATTAATGTCTAACTCTGATTGATCTACGGATTTGTGCGCGACCTCACCCATTTGTCTTTGGTAGTTACTGCCTACACCTGACAGGGTTGAACTCCTGTCTGCTATTTCTAAACTGTACTAGTTAGACTCAGTTTATTGTTGATTTATTGTCATACCATACCGTTCTATATTATTTCTCATTATACTTTCGAATGTTTTCCTATTTCTAGAGAAGTTATTACTAGAAAAAATCAATCACAGAGAAGACAATGTCGATCACTACCATACCTATTATTCTTACCACCTCTTATATTTCTTTTCTTATTGTCATTATTATGTATATTTATTCTACCCGACTGTCCTTTATTCCAACTTTGGTTCAGATGTAATGAAAAACATCCTAATGGTGAGTGGATTTACAGTCCGTTTGTATTATTCAATGTACGCGATCCACCAATTTAAAGTTGAAATGTATTTTTTTTTAAAATTTACTGGACTATTTCAATGATTGAGTACCATAATTTTATGATGATATGTATTTCTCTACTATTTCTATTTCTTATGTTTATAAGTCTTATCAGTATTGCATTTGTCATTTTTCGAACATATGTATATTTTTTCTTTCAGCCGTACGTGTACATCATACAAATATATGGCTTTATTAATCCTTGCACAATTTATCATTTTTCTATATTTCATATTTCTCATCTACACTCTTTAATGAGATACTTTTTATTCAAAGTTCATAGACTCGATTGCACATGGATGTGTGCAGGTATGTATGTGTGCATTTCAACATCCCATTGTGATATACACTAAAATTGTATTATAATCTATTTAATATTTCTATTTCTATTGTCTCTTTGTTATCTGTCTGTTTGTTTTTTGGTGTTACACTCCGCAAACAAGAAGAATGAAATCATCTACTTACTGTTTCATTGTTATTTTGGAAAAATAATTCATTTTGTGTATCATGACTGTTTGGGTATTATTATTTTATTATTTCATATAAAACTAGAGAAAAAAAATGGAATTTAAATATATAATTTTCATTGTTTATTCATTCATCATTAATTCTCCATTTTGAGATGTATAATATTTGAAAAGGATTATTTTATAACAATGTTTTGATGATATTTTCATCATAATATACATGTATTCACTTTTACCTTGACTAATTTACTATATTTTCCTATATGTCTGTCTGCTTTTTTTTTTATCGCCAGTTGTGTTTTTTAAAGCAAATTAATGTGAAAATATTTACAAACAACTTACTAAAAATGACTGGTTTTATTTCTATGTTATGATTGAAACAAGTTTTGATATTCAGTCATTTTACTCATTCATGTTTCGAAATAGTTAAAGGTAGATTTATTCAACACAGTTAGTTTACAAAAAGTAAATGAATATTGATAAAAATTTCGCAAAGTAGAGATATTTTAAAAGTTAGAACAAAATATGACTCATATTGCTACGTTTATTATTTACATTAACTGTTCCCTAAATTTCGATAAATACGAATATGGCTCTTCCTCTGTACTAAAGCAAATAAAGTGAGTCGAGAATTGTGACTTTTAATTTAACAGTCATAATTATAACTCATCAGTACTTAAAGTGTGCTAAAGGTTTAAATTAGTATTTACCCAAGCATTGATCCTTGATTTTTATGACTAGATGTGCCATTAATGTGGTTTATTCAGCAATACAATCATATATCGAAAAATATGATGTATTACCATCGGAAATAGATGAAAAAAGGAAATAATTAGAAGAAAAACCCCAAAAGCTGTTGCCAGAACTTTTTAATTCGGGAAACAACTACATTACTCATCATTACTTCTACTAATGAAAGATCTGTTGATAGATGCTGAATGACTTGGAAAATAAGGCCCGAACAGAATGGAGCTCGTAATACTACCTGAAAAGATAGCCATTTGTTTGTGTTTAGTTGTAAGAAATCTAATATACATTTTTAAAAAACTAAAACAATATTGGCTGAATGACAATTTGAAACCTGTATGAATAGACCGTATGGAGACGGTCCTGTAGTTTTTAGTCTTTAGCAGCTGGGACAGTGGGCCAGGTAACTTATACTGTTAAGATAACGTGAAAACAGAGTAGCATATAGACTTTATCGTTTGTGAATATAAAAGCTGAATAAATTGTGAAAATTAGTAGGGGGAGGATGTAGCGAGATCGATACGTGTTACCGACAAAATATCTCGTTAATGAGTAGTCAAGTATGATCATGTATTGATAATCATCGATAGAGTAAATAGTGTCGTTTAAAGACCAATAACTTGGCGTGTACATAATAATGAGTTCTCGTACATAGGACAAAAACAGTCCAGTACGGTGATTGTTGAAAATTATGAAATGTTAAGTCTGTATATATATTTTCGTTCTTGCTTTGACTAAACATAAATATATATCGGTGTGACTAGATGGATAGGATGGTGACTGTGAAGAAAAGGAACTTGGAGCCGTATTTCTTTTCGTTCGTGAAGCCTGGCCTGCTTTGTGTCGTTGGAACGAAATTCCCTAAATCTCGTTTGCTGCTAAACTTTTGTAAAACCAGATGACATGTGGTTGTTGATGACGAACAAATGAAACCAGCTTGAATGAGGAAGACAAAAGTGAGTCTTGGAGATAGTAATTACAAGCTCTAGGCGATAGGGATAGAAATCAATTACAGTAATATAGAGATGTTCATGTGCAGTGTATGATATTTCGTGAAGTTGAATATGAGTTATTAGATAAAATGAACGAATTTATTTGTGACCGAGCGGCTAATAGTGTGACATCAAATTTTGGTGAATGTATGAGCGTAATAGAAAGGCTCATCAAGTAAATAATCTGAGAATGAAGAAAAAGTGTGCACAAACCCGAGTTTTCACTTACTGTTGGGCAATTTTTTGAGGGTTACCTCTAGGGGAGTGGTGGTGATGCATCGGTAAGGTTGTCATGTTGGGATGGTTTTGCGCACTTAATACGTCGTTGTACGCCATCCTCAGACCACCTCTGATTCTCCTGCAACTTTGAGAGAATAAACCCAAGTGCTGGAGTTTAATTTCGTAGGGTTTCTTCCTCAACTCTATCACCCATTTCGTTTCACGTATCTGCATTCCATCCAAGAGATTTGTGTCTGTTTTAAGCAGAGGGGGTACGCTGACGTGAACCTCAAGGTGTGGGAGCGCGTACGTCTTAAACAGCGTTAGAATAATTCAGGTGTGATAGCCCCAAGGTGTCTTCAGATAAAGTGAAGAGTTGCGTTAGCCTTGTCTGCGTCCCCTTTATAGTTCGAATTGGCGTGGAGGCATCAAACCGCGATTGCGCTCTGAGGAGACATTGTGAGCGGATTTCCATTGAGGATGTAAGTCGTTTGCGTTATGTGGGGTAGAATGTACATGACGTGACACCGGCTGGTTTAGTTTTAAACCGTTTTTCACTGCCAATTCCTAAATGGATCTAAGGTCCTTTTGAAGCCCGGTTGAATCCTCTTCGCTTCTAATGGATTTCCGGATCTTTTCATAGTCTGCGCAGATCAATGCTGGTGAACTAACTGTGCCTAATAGGTTGTCAATGAATATCAGAAAGAGAAGGGGACCGAAGATGGTCCCTTTTGAAATTCCCGATTTCGAGACTCGCGTGCACTCTGTTCACTTTCTATTCTCAAGGTAGTTTCTAGGCCAAGATAGGAGTTTGTCCGTAAAGCTCATTTCCGCAACTTTTACAATTAGGGATGCATGGGGTACTCTAACGGAGGCTTTTGCAAAATCTAGAAATATTAAGTGCACCGGTATATTTCAGTCGCAGCAGGATATCCAACTGTCCCATGCTGTGGCGAAGACTGGATGCCCACAACTTGCCTTTCAAAAAGCCCTGTTGAGCCTGATGGAGGACTTTGTTCAACGTGAACTACCATACTGGTCTGCTGATGGGCCGTTTGTGATATCCTGGCTGCTGTTTGTGCTGACCACAGTTTTTCGTGCATGATTCGGATCAAACCTAACAGAGGTTCTCTGGGATGGTAAAAACGTATTTTCGCAAGTTGTGCCAAGTCTAAGGTAATTCTCATTGGAAAGGGTTTCCCTTTTGCGACTTTCTGCCCTTTGAAAAGACGGCATATTTTAGCTGGGGTAATTCACATTTCGAGGATCGTACAGTTCTTGTCTCATTATTCTTTATCAAAGGCAGCCGTACCTTCTAGTAACCTACCCTCTGACACTGGGACATTAAATAAAATTAGCAAATTTTTTCTCACATCTCCGTCACTGATTGGTAACTTCGCGTGGATCCAGTAACATTTCCACAAGTCCTGTGTTTGCGAGTGAGTGAATGTATATGTGCTGCCGAATCATCTAGGAGGAGAGCAGTTGATCGAGACGGCTAAACATACCGCACAGTGGTTCTGACTTGAAATGATTCCGTTTGTCCGAATTAGTACTTAGATTGTCAACCAGTGAATGGAGACAACTTTTATATATTCGAGAATGATTAAATATCCCAATCTGGTGTCCGAAACTGAATTGTTTCCTGATTAGTGTTGGAGGTCAAATAAGCGACGTCTATTTTCAGCCATTACTACAACCGTTTATTCAAAACATAGCAAAGATGACGAATCCTCACAAAATAGATATTAGAATTAAAACCGTACTCGGATACATAACAAAGCTCGATATCAAGAGAGAAATAGATGATGATAACATCAATAATAATAATTCTCATATGATAAAGTGTTACGTGTGGCATGCCATTTTACAATTAAGATCAAAATGTTATAAATGCTAGCATATTAACCGTAAAAGTTTGCTCAGATTAAAAGTAAGTCTGTTTCTAACAGTGAATTTATCCCGCTTCACGGACAGGAGCAGTTTGATACAGCCAGACTTTCAACAACTGATTGAGAATAGGGTAGGTACACAGCAGAGTTCTCTGAAGATATCTATAATTCAAGAGTAAAATTGATAGAAAGTATCTCTGACTAGTCGCCCCATCACCAATGTTCTGCCGCACAAGCACGGGTTGACTAAAGTCATCAACCTCATCATCGCTGTCTATTGATCGGTAACTCCACCTTCCGTCTGTATTATGTGTACAGATATGTTGAGCACGCAGGGTTTACCCCAGCTTCCGGGCAAACTAATTAACATTTTTTACTGGGTCGTCATTTACTCATCTTTCGACCTTGTCAGTTATTAGCTTATATCTTTGTTGTCTTTATTCAAGTCCATATGTCTATGCTTACCTCGCTAATGACATTGTTACCCTAATTTCGCTTTGCACATACTTGGCTCGCCCCCTTTCTTCATTTCGCTTCGCTTTGCCTTTACGCTTCGTATTCTCATGTTTGTCTCCGTGAACGACCACAAAACCGTATTTGGCTTCTTATCACCACTGTCTCACAACCGGGTTTCGCCTAATAATGATATATGGAAAGTGAAAGGAATATTTATTTCATT